TCAAGAGAACGAAATCACGTCTCCTCAGCCCCTTAATTGTCAAAAGAACCATTACTTGTCAGAACGAAATCACCCCGCCCAGCCCCTCCCACCCCACCCAACCCCCCTAAAAACTCTGAAGAAACTTGTACCGCCTTCCCCTCAAAACACGAAATTTGCGGCAAACGAAGGTGATGGAACCTAGCTGCAGGTCTAGACAATTTTCCAAAGCTTTGCAGCCGTAAGCTTCTGCAGTCACGGCAGAGACCTTTACAACTAGTTATGCCATCTTGCGAAGAGTAAGTTTAGGTCAGTGGAGAGTACCCTTTGTTTGATCTAGTTGATGAGTTTTTTACATTTGATTCCCACTATTGGGTTAAAACCTAACTGCTAAATCCTAAAGCCCAAACGAATTCAATATCTCGAGCCGGAGTCCTGCGTACACTCATCTGCCAGCTCGTCTTCTTGTTCCTCAATCTCCCCGTCTTCGCCCTCCTCTCCTCCCCCAGGTTATAAGGGCTGTGGGGAGGTCCTAGATTCATCATATAAGCTGTTCCCAGAAAACATGTGGGCCCTTTTGGCTGCAGATTATATTGCGGCACCTAATATTTAGGGATACTAAAATGGGAGCCTAGTTTTGGGACTACCTATACAAGATTTCAATCTTCTGGGCTTGCAGATTGCTTGTTCTGAGGCTGGCGTGCGTGTGATTAGCTTCGCAGTTTAAGGGCCTGCGACTTGATTGGGCCAGGAGGGATTAGGGCCTTGGCATGTCTTGTCCTGGCTGTCGCCAGTTCCTGTCCAGGGCTCCTAGTGCAGGGGGAGCGAAACGCGCTTTGGGGTCAGAGGCCCCCCTATCATCTTCACATTAGCCTGGCGACCCGACGTCCAGAATCACTTGGAAGCGGGGGTTGTTGAGGGGCTTACGGACCTTTTTGAACCCCAAGAGTATGCAACATGAAGGTTTTTTCAACTGTTTGTAAGAGGTGTGGGACCATTATTCGACCTACTTCTGGGATCCAGAATATCAAGACCGCTGAGATGGAGCATTCTGATTCCCTTGGCCCTTGAGGAGGTTGTCATTGTGAACGAAGCTTGGGGTGGACCTGAGAGGTGTCCGTGAAGTCGCGCAGGGCCGCCTAAACCTGCGGCAGACCCCTATGTATACGCCAGAATAGCGTCCCAATATTCTTTGAAGTAAGCCTATCAAAGTACTCACATGCACTTCCGAAAGACGTGCCAAAGCACCTGCTTTAATCCACACCACCTAGTGGGACCCCATCGCCACGTGAATCTCATAGGGATGCCCACAGAAATTGGCCTACGTGCACACCACCACACCTTACTGTTGGTTTGTTCGGAACAGGGGAATTGATCCCCAGAGTAGTCCCTCAAACTGGACTAAACAAGTCTTTATCAGCCATTCTTTCTTCCCTAACACCTGCGAGTCGCTGTATATGCATAGGTCAGGCTAGCTAAGGTCAAAGACCCTGAAGCTCTACATGAACACTCGCCACTGTTCCCCAGGAGACCTGCGCCCATTCGCTAAACCCTGTGAAAGACCTTACCTCAGACTATGCCTCCAGTCAGGCAACAGTTGGCCAACATAGATTCCCCTATTATCCCTATATAATCCCTACATACTATAGCAGTTTCCTTTTCTTTTCCATCATCCCTATATAACTCCTATACACACCCTATATAATCCCTATATAATCCCTACAGTAAAATCCCTGTAGTTTCCATTATCTTTTCCATCATCCCTATATAACTCCTAGTTTCGCTCCTCGTTTGGCCTCTCCCTGCGCCTCTTCATCTTCCTCCTCGTCCTCTTCCTCTTCCGGCTCCTCCTGCGCAGGCTTTGACCGGTGTTCGCCCCGAAGTTTAAGGGTTTAGGGTTTAAGTGCTTAGGGGGATTCCATTGGGACCACAAGAAGGGGCCCTCAGGAAAAGAGTGAGGCTTCTGATACGACCTGTCCTCGGCTAAGAATCTGAAATTGGAAGATTTGTTCCAATAATCAAGGAGTGTCGTGATAGGACCGCATCAGTAGAGATTTGAATCCAGGTATACCCTACCCCCTTGAAAAGGAGACCAAAGGTTCTGCTAAGTGTTACCGTAAACCCTAAACCCGTGGAACCTGAAACCCTAAACCCCAAACCCATGGAACCCTAAACCCCAAACCCATGGAACCCAAAACCCCAAACCCATGGAACCCAAAACCCTTAACCCACGGAACCTTATGGATCTCTGCCGCTATAGCCACCAGCATCCACAATGGGGTTGCTTTTCGGGGACCTGATACTTGATGTTGCAATGAAGGGCTATACCAGTAGTATATTGGGGTCTATATCCGGGCCCTGCCCCTAATGTCTGAAATCCACTTCTAATATTTGGGTGTCTATATTGGGGCTCTCTATGCCTGAAACTCAGCAGACTGCATGAATCCGAAGAAGGTCTACTCTGAACCTGCAAAAGACCACTACAGGCCAAATATCCTCTCACCTGGAGATGTGCCAAGATCACGGTCCCTGACCGTTCAACCCCCCAAAACTGCAGGCCTTGATCTACAAGCCCCTGTAACAGAAAGCGCTCTCACCGACATTTTGAAGGAAAAGCCTGCCCGACGAAGGCCCGATATCCAGTATCGGGACAAGTCTATGTAGTTGATGGACTTTCACACACCCAACTCCCAAGCCTCCAAGCCTTTACACCCTGACCTCAAATTCAAGAAATACATCCTAAACGCCCCAAAAGCCTTACATACCCAAATGGTTCTCCTCTGAGCACTCAGAGCTTGAGGAGCTGGAAGTACTAAAGTCACCTCGAGTGAAGTACACCTATGGAGCTTGTCATGCGAGCTGGACCTAGCTCATCTCAGGTCAACCTTTTTCTGGGCAAAGATAAAACACTGCACATCATTACACGTCTGATGCAAGCAGATGAGCTGAGTCTGCCCTAACTTCGGGTAACAGTAATAGTACAGGTTTTGGGGGAGTATATGACTATTAGGTGCTTGGACCCGTATGGATAGGGGTTGAAGGATGGTTAAAGGCGGGCAGCCCTACGATATGCTGACTGACACCTAAACTTAATCTCATGGGTCACCCACCATCCACACCTACCCAAAATCAGGAGGCCACCTAAGCGGGCCGTTTAGGGAAGATTAAGCCTCCACAACAGGTATAGCGTGCTTGTTAGGGTTCTCTAAACTTTAAGCAGCTCGGCCCGGATTCCAGGACCTCATGGTAGCTTTCAAACACGGGCCACAAAATCAGACCCCCGTACACGGGTGGGGGCCCACGAGAACGGGAAACCACCACAGGGTTTCGGGTTTAGGGTTTCTCGAAACAGTGTGACACCAGGATTACAGAGAGAGGTATTGCTGCCCCATTCAAGATTCCATAATGTTTAAGCAGCCCAAGCAGCTCGAGTAGCTGGAAGACATGTCACCTGCGGATGTACTAGGTTGTCACTATTGAGGTTGTTTTAGTACCAATAGTTGGCATTGCTATTACAATACCATTGTTGTTAGTATGGTTGCCAGAATATTTTTACACGCTGAAACCTATCCAAGGGTTCAGGGTTCAGCATCTCAAGTCCAAGCTTTGTCATGTGAGAGCCAAATACCTACCTGCCCGTTGGGTCCCACGTCATCCGGAAAACATTTGATAGGTTCTCTTGCTTCCTTGTGGTGCTATGCTTATGTACTTATTCCTCTTCTTTGTACAATTGTTGGGACACTCACTGCTAAAGTGAAACAAGTTCGTAGATCATTCTGGAAGGCCCCAAAATTTCCAGCTGAAATCTAATCTAACTACCACCTCATCAAGATGCCGACCTTGAAAATCACTCAGGGCGCATTGGCTAAGATGGGTCTGAATTCGTTCACGTTATTACAGCTGTTATCGTTAATGGTATAAAAGGGGCGCAACACATTTGCAATCTTACCTGGGCATCTTGCTAACATAAGTTAAGCCTAGATAAGGGTTAAGCTTGTCCTGGGAGAAGTTGTCTCGGGGCGTCCCGAGCTGTCGCTGACACCCAAATATTTGAGTCCCTGGACCCTGAAGGTAAGAATCCATGAAGCAGATCTCGGCTACTGCGCTGATAAGAAACATGTACCAAACAACTACCAAAAGCTTTTCCGAGGCATATTTAAAGTCTCCTGTACCATGAGTATACAAAGAACCTCTGGTCATAATGTTGATAGCCATTCAGGCGGCTACGTTTGGCCCCCACATTCGCAGAGTGAATTTGTTGCTTCAAGCTTTCAGCGTCCACCTGGCGACAACACCCGTGGTGTCGCAAAGCCCACACCTGTAATCCTGCACTCTTTTCTCATCCCGAGCAAGCCTGAAGAGGGAGGTTTCCAAAGATTAAAGGTACCTTGGGCTCCCTATGATACGGATTTTAAGATCTTTTGGGTCTACATGTGTGTGCTCCTTTTTCTAGAAGCTCGCAAAAATCTCAAGGCCGGCACAAAACAAGTCGCTGCCTTCCGAAGGCTCCGACGGATCCATCGACGACTCGGAGGCCGCCGAGGATGAGGAGACCTCTGCTGGGTTGGGGGGTTCCAGGGTTTAGGGTCTAGGGATTGCTTAAGCTACTATAACATGGGTATAGTACATCATAGGGTTTCCTTTCCGTAGTAACATAATTTAAATTCCTCAGCAGCTATTTAGTCTGTCCCAAGAAGGGCATATGGGTCATAGGCTATACCATCAACCCCAATTACCTACAGTGCTCTGGGTTGTACCTACTAGTCAGTAGTTACAACGTATTGCCAATGAGGTTACAGATAGTCTTCTAGGGTAGGGGCATGAATGTTTCAAAGACCTAGGCTGAGTGCCGTAAGGAGAGCGGCTCCTGCAATACTGCACAGAGTAATATAGTAGCATAGTATTGCAGTATTATAGCAGTGAGGAAGCAGTGAACGCAACCTTAGGATCCTCTTGCTCCCCATGGTGCCATGTCTCATACGACAATGCCGCAATCTAGTCATCATCAACAGCATACTACGACTGTGAAAATGAATGCCCGAAGCCGCTGGCAGTGCAGCTTCCACACTCGCGAGTCAGGGGTGAAGAAAGTATGGCTAGGGATCCTAAGGATCTGCAACGGGGATAGCGTTGTGCTTTAGCAACCTCACGTCCGCTTGTACACGATCATGACACCCGCCATTTGCTGCTGGTGCTGATGCTGCTGCTGCTGCTGCTGCTGCTACAACTATGCCCATTACAAGACAAAGCTGAGCACCGAGCTGCATCCTCGTCGTCGCTAACCGCGTCCTGTGTTTCTGACCACATGGTTTTTTCCCTCAAATCCAGGATTTGCTTGCACACAGCGCTAGTAACAGGATCTATACTGGAATTCTGGAACAAATGCAGGAGGATACTTTCTGCAGGAGAGGTGGCTCTGTCGAATGTGCCAGCTTGCTTTCTATTACGAGGCCCATACTTCTCCCCGTACATGCATCTCCCCTGAAATCCGGCACTCACGTCCCTTTAATGGGCTTGAGGTTTGTGGCGTCAGTGCACTCCTCGGTCCTAGGCATGTGGGTGTTGATGGCAATGTGAAGACAAGTGGCAACTGCTGAAAAGCAAGAGGTTGAAGTAAACCGCTAGGAAAAACTAGTAACAAGCATTATCCTCTGGCTTGAAAGTGCTATGTCTTAGCTGTACATACCAGTGAAGACTGTGGACCCAACGCTATATGCAAAGCGTTGACATGACAACCAACTTTGATTGTGAAACCAATCAACCTTAATTGCTGGGCATGTCTTCGCAACAAGACAATAGTAGTTTCTATTCTCTTTGCCATTATCCCCTATGCTATCCAATTATTACCCCAATATATAACCCAGTCCCTGTAACATCTGTCCTGCAACAGGGAGCCTTCCTCTGGCTTCTCGTCTTGAGACAGGCATTGGGAAGGCTCCTCCAATCAAATTGTCCATGGACAAAATGCTGCATGACACTCTGCAATCTTATTGGCATCATTTCTAGGCTTCAAGGAAGCTACCAGATCCTCGGTCCTCCATGTTCGCTTCGCCATCCACTTTGGTGTCTTGAGTAAGGCTTTGGATCTGATCCCGCAGTAGCTGAAGCTCAAGGAAGGCAGAAGCTCAAGCAGCAGCTCTATGGGAACCCTAAACCCCAAACGGCTATCATTCTCAGGATCGCTTCCTTCATTCCAAAAAATGGGATATGTTTGAGGAGGTAGGGTTTAGGGCGGGTATGCTGGAATTTTCATGTTAACTGGCAGGACCCAATTTGTGCTGTGGCCTTGGTTGTTGATTAGGTGCAGCAAGTCAGCAGCACCTTGCTGAAAACAGTCCTGAGGACAGCTACATAAAACTCATGCGCAGGTCCCTCTACACAATTGGGGTGTCCCCAAGATTAGGGGTACCCTTTGTGGGAGTCCCTTAGTAAGGAATATACTATTTTGGGGGTCTATATTGGGGTCCCCCCGTTTAGGAAAACTACCATATGCCGTTTAGAGGACAGTCCGCTCAATCCAGTTCCCGCAAGCATGCAGCAAACAGCCAGTTTGATGTGCCTCCTCAAGTTTCGGAGGCTCCACACAGCAGGCTTCCTGATCCAAGCTTATTTTTAGCGCTTAGAAGTTTGGCACATGGGGATGTGGGTCATTGGCCCCTTTATGGAAACTGATGTCTGCCTTTGCCTCCACTTGCAGGACTTGACTGGGATGTGAGGCCCTGCTGCAGAGCGAAAGGCATGTTAAAGTAAATAGACATGCCAAAGGGTCTACATCATCAGAAAACTCTCTATGCAGCCAATGCACTGGCACCCTGAACATATAACCCACCATGTCTGTAATATCTGTCCGGGCTCTTTCTTTGCAAGCAAGAGCATGCAAGACAAACACAAAGACTGAATGGAAGGACTGGATTCGGAATAGCACCTACGCATACAATGATCATCCACTTTTGCGTGGGCATTCATCTGGAGTAGTTTTCCTGTTTTTGGTCTCACCGCCCCGCCCCAGAATAGGATACGAAGATGCGAGCTATGGTCTAAATCCTAGTATCACCCTTTATAAGCCGTATAACAGTCCCCTAACTGATCCCCTACATGACTGATGCTGCTTACTTACCGCCTGAGGCCCTGGTACTTGGCATCCTGTTTCACGATTCCTCTTCAGACAATTTGATCTCGCCAGCATGCAGAACGCCAATGGCATATACACTGGTGCCAAAGGCAACGATTTGTGCAGCTTCCAGCTGTGAAACGTAAATCCAACCTAGATTTGGAGGCCCTAGGAAACACAAAGCTTGATAGTAGTACATGTCTATTATGCTACGCCCTAGGGGCAAAACACGTGTTTCAGCATTGTACAGCGAGCCGCTCACTGCACTCAAATCCTTCGGAAACATCCAACATGATCATTGCGATGCCCATATGACACACTTCTCATAAAGTCCTAGGACATCTCTTGTAGGTCCTAAGTATATCGCGTTGCAGATCAGTGCTCACGAGGCGCTCCATGGGCAATGTCTTCTTTGAGCATCTTTGCCTTCTGTGCTAGCATCCAACCATTCTGCACCTCCAAGTAAGCAGCAGTGATAGCAAATGTACTGGTCAAGAAGGTAAGGGGCGTCGCGAGGACGGAGAAGAAGCGAGCCTCTTGGGCAGTCAGCGAGGAATCTTTGGCCAAGGCTTTCTTGATGGCAGCTGCATCTTCATTGGCATGCTGCGCATGGTGCGCCGCCTCTTCCACGGTGTAATTGAATGATGTCCGGGGCGCACATAAGAAATTGTGTGCTGTCGCCTGGATTGCTGTTAAGGAACTTAATTTAAGTTACTATATTGTAAAAGCGCTATTTTCTACTATATATATATACACACATTGCAGTAACTTATTTTAAGTTCCTTAACATATACATCAATTGTGGTAACTTAATTCAAGTTCCTTAACACCAACCCAGTCGCCCGGGACGAACTCATTGGCAAGGCCACCTCCTCGGATGCCAAGAAGGCGGACGAACGCCGGAAGCCAGGGCTGCCGTACATGGAGCCAACCTGATGCTGGGCTGCTGTTAAGGAATTTAATTTAAGTTACCATACTGGGTCGGTTTAGGGGTTTAGGGGTTTTCCCAACTTAGGATTATATGGGGTCTTATTAGGATTGGGGTTAAAATGGGGATAATATAGAGTTATATAGGGTTATATTGGGGTGATTTAAGGATATCGGAAAAGAAAATGGAAGCTTCTTTTCAGGGTTTGGGTTTAGGGTAGTTCCCCAAATTAAGGTCCCGATTTGGTATCCCTAAATGTTCGGTGCCCTGATATAACCTCTAACCAAAATGATGCTGGGTTCTCATGGGCGTAGTTCCCCAAATTAGGGTCCCATTTTGATACCTCTAAAATTCGAAAAAATGGATGTCTTGATATAATCTCTAACCAAAATGGGACCCGCATTTTGTGAACTACCCATGGGCTCTTGGCAGATTTGCGGAACTTGGGAGCATAACTGTCAAATAGGGGGCCTGGGAGTTGGGGGTTGCTAAACAAATAACTTTGGAAGTTGACCCACCTGCAAAGAGGGCAAGGCATCGTGGAATTCCTGCTGGCTTGTCGCCCCTGCCGCTTCTTGGAAGCCATAACAGCGCGGCATTGCGTTGATGCCTTGCTGTGGCAATGTGGAAGAATCTAATCTGAGTGCATGAAGCCAATCTTGGGCCAGAACCACTTGACCGCCTACATGTTCACACAAAAATGGCAGCATGCATGGTGTGAGCAGGTCTATCATCAGACTTCGGAATCTTTTGCCGTCTGCACCGTTCATCCCCAAGTCATTGGTCAAAGGAGGGCTAGAATAAGCGACTCAGAGTAGAACATTCCCATGTAGTCACTTAGGTATTTGTTGCTAAAGCCAAGTGTGATGCGCCGCTCCATAAGAGATGGAAAGATGAGAGTATCTGGGACATGCTAATGCTAACCATCTGATCGATGTTTGTTGCTGTGGCAGGTTCTCTACAATCATCATCGTAATAATGCCCCCTGCAATTTGGAAACCGTTCCGACAGGTAGTCCATGGAGGCAAGATGCTGCCTGCTACAGGGATCTCAATGCAGAGAATTCAAACCACAGCAGTTGCTGGGCAAATTCCTGCACGACCCTGTCTACCTTAACCGTTCAGATTACGCTAGTGCAGCATGCTCATGGTCATGCATGCCTTTCTGTCCATCAGGAGCACAAGAATCCTATACCCAAAGCCCCGAGACCCCCAAAGCCCAAACTCTTAACGCAAATGCGCCTGATACCTCTACCCTTAAACGACAGATCTATATCCAAAAGCCCTACATCTCTACATTACAACCCTACACCTGTACCGCCGAAAACCCTCCATCTATACCTCAAAACCCCATATCTCAAACCCTTTTCAGGCATCCCTAAACGCTAAATCCCTAAACCCTAAACCATAAACCCTTAAACCCTTAAACCCCTAAACCCTTAAACCACTAGTATCTCATGCCGGGCCTGCTGTGGAACTTCCTCAGAGGCAGGCCTGGCCTCTGGAAGCCGTACCTACGCTGCATGACTAACGAGGTAGCTAAGGGTACATAGGATTAGGGTTTAGGATTTGGGGTCTAGGGTTTAGGGTTCAGGGGCACATAGGATCATATAGGGTAAAAGTGACCTAGGGGTACATAGGCGAATATCGGGTTGTGCACGGGAATCTCAGGGTATATAGGGGCATGGAAGAGGATGTGGCGGCTACGAAGCTACTGTAATAACGAGGGTTAAGGGTTCAAGTGTAGGGCTTACTGATGACTGGTGCTTGAGGTGGCGGGGGAGTGAATGTGGATCGTCATGAGAGATTAGATTATGCAGTCCGTTCGAGAACTTCGGCTTGGATGTGGTCCCAGTGTCTCGGAGGAAAAGACATGAGCCACTGGCCGAATCAACCAACTAGGCACAAGAACTCACGAAAATCATGCGTAAATCTCTACCACCAGGCCAAAACAGGAGCCTCCGCATGCGGAGTTAACTCGCTTTCTTCAAACTACACCTGGTGCCTATGCAAAAAGCATAGTGTGCAGCTTCTTGCGGCTGCCTCGTGGCATGGCGCGTTCTCCAAAGCGGCTCGCTTCCGTGCCAATGCTGCCTTCATGGGGATGGGAAAATGAAGGACGGCATCATTTAGGCGGTAAGGCTTTCGAAGCTTGCCCCCAGAAAGCTTCCACAATCTTCCACTGCTCATCTCCAAAAAAATGCCTAGCCTCATTTTGACGACACGTCGAGTACAACGAAACTATGCTTCCATCGCTAAGGGATGCTATGGCTTCAGGGCTTAGGCCCGCAGACTCAGCCCTTGAATTGCCTTGGTGCCTCTGGTTCAGATAGCCTCACCAAAAAACAAATGGAAGCTTCTGAAAAAAACTCTTCACTAATCATGAAGCTTCCACAATCACATCAAAATCCCCAAGCGTCGCTAAGAAGCTAAGCCCCTTCTTCCAAACGCAAACACCCAACTCCTCAATCCGCCCAACAAGACTTGCAGCAGTCAGTACATGCATGGGATGCACCGAAGCTAAGCAGTAAAGCAATGAGAACGGTCCTCAGAATAGGAATATTTAGCAATTACCAGAGGCAACTGGGCTATGACTGCAGTATATAGCAACGGTATTGCTGAACGAGCTATTGTCACGCCAGTTTCTAGTACAAAGACAACCGCCCGGACATCAGCAGAAAACATCAGTGCGTGGATATATTAGTCGCCATCATCCTCACCAGCATCATCATCTTGATCATGACTTTCCTAATTAGTAAGCTCCCATGGGAGTCTTTCTCCTAGCCAGGCTCCCCGGACATACCCCCCAAAATCCGTCAACCACTCGTGTCTTTACCGTAAGAACCCCTCCAAAGACGAAACCACCAAGTTGCAAAGCCCGCCTTTCATGACTCTACTATGCCTACATACGGCTTTCCCAAAATTAGGGGTACCTTCTCAGTGGTCCCTATCGTAATGAATATAGTATGTCGGGGTCTATATTAGGGTCCCATTATTGAAAGAAACTACCACATCATCTGTATGTACCCATGCATAATCCACAGCATATCCTGCCTGTATTATGTTGTGAGAAGGCCTCAAATGAGCTATAGTCTAAATTCCTGGCATCCCCCTTAATAACCCCCATAGGCCTCCCCTTTATTACCCACCAAAAGGAGTTTAGACAATGGCTCATATGATCTTGTTTAAAAAGCCTCACATAAGCCTAAACCATAAGCCCTCGACCCTGGACCCTAAACTTTATTCCCAACTCCTCCGCCGCCTCGCGTTTCAGACGGATGCGTGTGAGCTGCTCCTCTGTCAGCGTTGGAGTAACTGGGCCTTGGGACTGAAGGCTTTAGGGTATAGGGTTTAGGGTATAGGATTTAGGGTTTAGGGTATATGGCTCAGGGTTTAGGGTTCAGGGTTAGGGTTACTCCCCTACTAATCGCTGATAAATAACCCCCCCCGGACTAAAATATGGCACCATGATGTATTAGGGATGGTCTCGGGTTGACATTTCCTATGCATTAGCAGGTCAAGTTTCAGGGTTTGCGTTGTTGCTGCTTCAAATCTTCATGTTGGTTTGGTATCTTTGATGTCAGCGGGCCCATTTCCGGGTTTGATCCTTCACTGGGCCCTTCCCGGGAAATGTCAAGGCTTACAAAGGGTCCATTGACTTCAGTGATCACGATAATCTTGCGAACCACCAGAACTAGATAGTACAATATAGTAGTTTCCATTTTATTTTCCATTTTCCCTATATATCCCCAACATACTATAGTAGTTTCCATTTTCTTTTCCACTATCCCATTATAGCCCATTATAATGATGTCTCTGTCGAGGCATTGGAAGGTTTCGTCTTTGGACCAACCGCAGCCTGAGTCTTTGTTGAAAATGGCAGCTGCTCCAACTTTCAGCCGGCCTTTCAGAGGATTCGGTCTGACATCTCACTGTGTAAGCCCCAAATACAAGGAGCCGTATTTCTTTTTTAGCTACAAAGCTGCCGTAGAACCGCAGATCATGAAACCCAAGAAGGTCGGCAGTGTATGGGTACGTACCAAACGTACCTTCATGCACGCCATGCATGAAAAGATTGAGAGAACGTCCAAACAAGGATCATGCTAATGGCGCATACCCACATGGTCTCCGGACAGACCGTGGTATCTGGAGTTCTTCTTCGGGTGTGCTTATACTAGACTATGTATAACTAATACTTTGGTGTCTATATTGGGCTCCCCCTATACGAAATGAAACAGGAGTTAGACTCGCTAGACTGTTGTTGTGTGCTCGTCGCTTTGCATGGCAAGCTATGAGCCGCAGAGCTTTTACCTCCAGCACCTCAAACGCTTGGCATCCTGGACCTTTGCATTAAGACGTTACACGCTTGTAATCAAGTCTTCAAAGATGGTGGGTCCAAAGGGAACTGGGTACTCGGTATCTACTTGCCTGGAACCCCCTCAGGATCTGATAAAGCTACAGATCTTCAAAAACACGCCGCTCGCGGTTGCGGAGACTATGGGGGTTTGTTCCTGACTGTTCCTTCGCTGAAAATTTCCCATTAAGCCGCTGTGCGACCTTTATGTGAACTTGAACCCTATCAGCCCTTAACACCAAGCCCTCTACATCCCTGATTCATTCCTAAACCCACCATGAAAGTCCTGCGCCCGCGCACCCGAAAACTCCAGACACAAATTGGGCTGCAAGCCTGCCGCATCAACTGCTGGCACACCAGGTGGTCCCCGGTCCTTCATTTCGGGTTTAGGGTAAGGGTGAAAGTACTCAAACAAGTAATAGATCATTTCGGCTGGAAACGGCTCCCATACAGGTACTTCGGCCCCAAATTACTTTCTATGGAGGTACTTGGACCTCTATAGGGCTTGGAATCAGGGGACAGTCTGAGACAGTGCCTTCGTTTTCCGTGCAAGACCTCGCCAAACAGCTTCATGTTCCATGATAGAAATTGTTGTAGGGCACCAGATGGGGGCTATAGTATTTGCCCTAGAATGGAAATTCTAATAGCAAAGCGCATGGAAAATCACTTGGAAACTGCTAGATCCTAGTCGGCTTGTCTATGAAGTCTGCCGTGCCTCCAACAAGAACACGCTTTGCGAGTTGCTCATGAAATAGTTCCCGTTTTGCCTGCAGGCTTTGCCTGCATGGAGGCTGTTCGATATGGACTTCTTGCGACCTTTTTCCGCACTAGATGATGTGAGCTATAGTCTAAACTCCTAATATCCCCCTGAGTAGCCCCCATGTAATCCTCTATATAACCCGTTTACTGCAAGGAGTTTAGACCTTCTTGCTCATCCCTGGCAAGACACAAACTACTTGGAACCGGAGGCCGTAACAATCTTCCAGCGGGCTTAGGGTTTAGGGCCCTCACAGTCTGCTTGGTTCCATGTTCTCCCGCTTTGTCCTTTTATGGCGCCCCTAAAACACTCAACCCTAAAAAACCTCGAGCCCAAAATCCTAAAACCCAAAAACCCTAAACCCTAAGATCCTAAACCTGAGTCTTGTCTCCATCTTCACCCACTGAAAATGAGAATCAGCTGTGGCTACTCAGAACCTTACTGGCGTTTAGTAGGGAACAAGGGACTATAATGTAGGGTTTAGGATTC